CCAAAGTGTACAGCCGGTTTGAAACATTCCTACATCCAACAATCCGAACGGCATACCGCTGAACGCGGATACGCAGAGAAAGAAGCTGGTACTGGGGTGCCCTCACCCAAAAATGAGAATAGTATTCCATGTGGGGCCGAATCTGCGCCTTATAGAAGCAGACGGTGGGCCAGGGTGAAATACTGCCTTGATATATTGAGCATATCAAGCTTCCTCGAGGCTAATTTGGCCTTATCCTCTAGATGACTGCGAAACTGGACGTCGCTCGAAATGCTGACACCAAGTATTCCAGCTTTGAAACTGAGGAGATACGACCAATGGCAGTTTCTTAGCGGTAAACACGCAGACCTGTACTGTACTGCATTAATTTGCCATTAACTCTTTCAGTCACACTTTTAACTGGTTACGAATATATTTTATTCAATTATACTGAAATGCTTAAAAACTAATGCAAAGTAATTTGAAGCATACTTAAAAAATTTAATTTCTAAGAAAAGGTGGTTAGTTACAGTGACCACCAAGACTGAAAGAGTTAATGTAATGGTAAAGCGAAACTGAATTTTATATTATACATATAAGAGTAGATCTTATATGTGTATAAATCTTAGACCTTCACTTCCTACCTACTAGAAATAGAACAATTTACTTCCAAGTTTTACAGAGGGTCTTTAAATATTTTCTATACACATAAATTACCCACGCTAAACTGTTAACTAATGAACATGTGCAGGTTCCAGTACGTGGGTGTCTCAAGCTGGGCGCTTTAGCAAAACATAATTAAGAAATACGACTTTCAGTTCCGCACTGCTGAAGACAAAGGACCAACCAAACTGTCAGACTATTATACTTAAACTATCTTCTTCCTCGATCTAATCGCATCAAAACCACTTGCGAAACGTTTGAAAGACAAATAGCATCTATAAAGATGTCCCTTACTTCGAATATACCGAGGGTTCTGCCACATTCATTACGTGCGAGACAAAAGGGACCGGCACACAAATGTCACGATTTTTTCCCTCTAAAATAACTCACAAACATAGGTAACTATAGAATCAGGCAGTGATTTTTAACATATATATGCTATATGTCTATGTCCTTTGAATGGAACTTTATTATTTCAACATTATTTTGAAAATAAATAGCAATAAGTTTATACAAACAATGACTTACTTAATAGTAGCTCAGAGAATGCACAATTCATTCTTTCTTATTGCCGAAATATGACTTGGCAGAATTTGCTAGTCGAAATTAGTATTATTTGAAATGTAACATAACGTTTAAATTGTTACAAATAAGTAAATTGAGCGTTAAATTGAAATGCTTTGTTTCTTCCCTTCCCTTCCTTTGACCTTTTGGGAAATACTTGACTTCTTATTGAGATGAGGTCAGTTTACCGTGAACACGCTGAGCGTGTGCAAACATCAGTCTATCCTCTTGTCAGGTTTTACCGTCTGTTTGGAAGGGATCGAGCCGCACTCTGACGTTCATTCACCTATTGTAAAGACAATCTGAAGTATCTCTGAACTGTAATTGAATGAACGCCCTATACCAAGTTTCTGTGCTAGTAAACCGAATTGGCGCCAGCGGCTAACAAACATTTAGGTCTTAGACATTAATGTACAGTTAACATCCTTTGATACTACAATATGTATTATTAAAGAGCTTATTATACCAGCAATATGTTTCCTAATTATACATGGTTGACACACTCTGGTTGTCAATAGTATGTTACCTAATTACGCAAATCCTGATTGAGCTGTATTGTATGGTTGTGTCTTGTGAAGGTGAGGGGTGAGATAATTCAGTTTGAGTGGTAGGGTGACCGGCCGCGACGAGTCGTCCTCTAATTAGTTGAGAAAGGACCTGTATTAATTAGACCGCCTAAGAAACAACCGACCTCGTTTTTATCGAATTACGTTGACAATATTTTAAAGATCTAATAAGGCTCTGTCCCATGCGAAGTATAGAGATAACAAAGGACGGTAACCAAAACACAACTAGCATCGTCACGGCTCAGACTACTCCTGTTTGAAAGATACCACAGCCATGGTTCACTGTGCCAAAGCTCATCAAATTTTGTTCGGGGGTTTCTCTGTAGAGTGCGAATACTGAATCGATAATTTACTTCATTATACGACTATACCACCAAACATATTTAGTCGCCATATTAGAGATTACTGTGTGCCGTTTAATTATGCGAAGGCATTCATGTGAGCATATCTTGCAACACGTGTTCATAGAGAAATTCCTGACATTGTTCATAATAGGCGGCTAGGTTTAGTTAGGGACATAGTTATTATAGTTTATATAAGTTGTTAGGCACTATAGCAAGCACCTCTAGGTTAATAAGTATACTAATTGTAAATGTCTAATAATTAATAGAACAATCAGTTGATCATTGATTTACGTATCTTATACGTAAATCGAATAAGTTTTTATTAAATTATTGGGATTTTCCCAGTTCGCGTAGACGGATAACATGCAGGACTAACGTAAATATATCGAAAAACGATTTATTATAGGTATAAACGCACATTGTAACACACTAAACCGAATCAAATAGAGCAAAGGTCACTTTGTTATAAATGGTTTGTGCCAATACGTTAGGTATACGGCAGAAAAAGTAAATTGGCTGAGAGCAAACGATACTATTCCCATCTATCACCGACTTTTACGAAAAGGAATCGCAAACGTAACGATAACATCAGCTTTCCTTATTGCCTACATTTTGATAAATAGTTGGCATTATTTATAGCTGAACGTGGGACACTGGGTCACTGCAGTTGACCTCATTTTTGAGTCAGTGAATATTTTTTTTATATATATTATTTACTGGTTCACCCGAAACTGATTTCCGATCTCCCATACTATGAATAACTTTGATTCGTATGTCTTGTAGGGACTATATGTTTACATATGTACTTACAACTGCCGCGTTAGTTGACTGGTAGCACTTAGAACTGCCAAACGACCGAAGCCGGGGGCTGCGGACTACCTTATGGGTGACCGAAGTCCCGGTTTGAAACTGGAGTAGGAACTAGGTGGTTTATAGTCAATAAGAGTTTCACATTCTCTTTCACCTTACGCAAGTCATTTGATAAAAGAGGAGATTCCCAATGCAGATAAAGTAAGTACTCATATCATTCGAGAGAAAGACAAAGAAAGACTTTAAGAGATATTGACTGGCAGTAGGTCTTACATACGTATCAAGCATGGAAATAAAGCGTTACATATAAAATACGCGGCAACAGTCTGTCTACAGTTTCTTTGACATTACCTATATTATTATGTCCCTCATAATACAATACAAAGTACCTCACTCCGCCGCCCTGTCTCTGTGAACTACCGACCGGATTTTCATTTGGTTTTCACCAAAGGACAGGCTGAATTATGAGAAAGGTTTGCGTATTATTTATTAAGGGTACTATGTATGTGATTTGCCAGAACTGAGACCAAGCGAAAACGGCCGGGTCGCCAGTAGATTATTAATGTATTTCGGTAGACAGATAAATTTTTTGTCCAAAGTTTAATAATATTACTTACTAGCTACTTCCGCGCGGTTTCACACGCTCTGCTCAGCTCCTATTGGTCATAGCGTGATGTTTTATAGCCTATAGCCATCCTCGATAAATGCACTATCCAACACAAAAAGAATTATTCAAATCAGACTTGCAGTTACGGAGATTAGCGCGTTCAAACAAACAAAAAATCAAACTCTTCCACTTTATATAATAGAGGTAGTTTAAAATATAAGATAATAGTTTAAGATAAGAAGTATAAGACATAAGATCTGTATTTATAAAGTTTTAGGTACTATAACAGTTTTCTTGAACCTACCCTTTTGTAGAACAACGACTGTCAATTGTCCTTCAGCTGATGAAAATACAAATCACAATGCAAATTGTATGCGGCAGATAAAGGCCGAGTCCGAGTGCGTGATTGAGTGCACGAATGATAAAACCTAGAAAATATATTTTAAGAATCGTCCTTGGATCTCTGGTTTCAATCTACACCAATAGTATAAAGTGTTAATACGTGAATCATGTATGTACAATAACAACTAAGTAGTATATAATATGCAATTCGGAAAAGTATTAGGTACATCTGTAGTCAAACCTTTTCCGATCCGATTATGCAATACTCGGAAAGCATTACCGTAATTATATGCATTAAGACATGGAAAACCTTTCTGATCGGATTGCAAAGCAATTCCAACCTAAGTAGGTCATAATAATAAAATATTCAGCTTTTAAAACAATGAGGTTTTATTTCATAGCTACAAGGTTTAGGTACATATACATATACGTACAAAGTTTGGGTGTTTTAATCCCAAAATTGACTATGCTGCTAACTGAAAACTAACCTTAAGTGGTTGAGTAAAAGAAATGTTTTCGAAAGCGCATTAAACTGCTATGCTAAATATAAAAATCATCTTCCCTCGATTATTCGCAGTCTCAGGTTATCTATAAGAACTTTTGACACGCTTTTACTAGGTTGGCCTGTAATTAAATCTATCTGAATTACACATACTTCTCATCATGAAACAAAATATTATGTAGATTAGATACCCATGCAATATTGTGGATCTGTGGAAAGGTTACTGAAACCTCGAACTGCCTACTAGTTACGTACATTCGTTACTAGTTAGATAAATCATTTTGTACTGGACATCGGCATACGCCTCAGTCCGTGGTCTGCAAACGCCACCGCGCGAATAGTCGCGTCGCCGATCCTCGTGGCCAGGCCGATAGTTAGTATTAATTAAAGGTGAGCAATATTTGGATTTAAAAACAGAATGCGACATGTTTCTGTCAATTGTTTTTATTTTTGTAATGTTCTAAAGGCGGCAATAACTTAGATTTAGAAAGAGTACATGAGATCTATCTGGCCTTGTCATTTTGGGTCTGACGTCATTGATTGTCATTTGTTTTTCTCGCATTGTTCTAAAGGCGGCAATAATTTGGATTTAGAAAGAGAACAAGATAATTATATTTCTGGTATTGTCATTTTGTGTCTGACTTCATTGACGTGTCATTTGTTTTATAAGTGGACTCGGCAACCTAATCACATTAACTAGGTATACATATACGCATTTCGAGGAGTTTTTATGAAATGTCAACTTTCATATTTTCATTGCAACGTCTTTATACACCGTCAAATCTGTTTCGTTTTCGTCCCGAACTAAAATGGTTTTGTCTTGGTAATACAATAGTTTTACAAAGAAATAAAATGTTTAAAACAAAAAATAACTGCTGAACCGTATACCTGTTTGCGTATACCTGCAAAAAGCACACTTCGAAAGCGTATACGAACTTACAGTACATTATCATAACATCTTGACAATTGTAATTCCATAACCATTCCAAATATCTAAAACGCGTTAATATTTAAGTTTTCACTTCTGCCGGCACTCCCGGAATGCAACTATAGATGCTGGCGGGAAAAATTCCGAATCATTCCCGTCAAATATTTCGGAAGCATTCCAAAATATTCTGAAACTTTGGGAATATTTCAATTGTCAGAAAAAAATCGGGAAAATTGTATTAACCTATTAAAAGTGCTCGATTGAGTACAGCGTAACGAAGTAAAATAATAAGTAAAAAAAATAATTAGGTACTTAAATTACTTAAAATTTACAAGATCTGTAATTTACACTTCGGGATAAGGCTGTACCTACTCAATCGAGTACAGTGACTTCTAGTGGGTTAAATAAATCTGTATTTTAAAATCTTATTAAATTTTAACTTTTCGTTAATTTATTTTTCAGACATAATTTGATGTGTAAGTAAAACAGAAGATCTGATTTAAAGAAACTTTCTCAGAAGTATTCCGGAATTATTCAGAATTTTTCAGAAGTTTTGCAACTATAAATGCAACGCGTCGTTTTTTTTACTTCAAAAATGACATCTTTATTTTTTGTTTTGACTTTATATACCTATTGAAAGTCTTCTTTATGGCAAGGTTTTCACGGTGTATATTCTAATTTTTTCTACATTTCTTGAACTGTTACAATGTTACAAGACCCAAATAAACAAATTGGTGCAGAGGCTTACGAGTTTTAGTACTAGACTAACGAACAGGAATAAGATTACCATGACCATGCAATATTATGGTGGCATGAAACTGAAAGATATCTGAAGGTAGTATCTATCTATAGTCTATATACTAGTAAACATAGACATAAAGTGTCAGACATTCGTACAATTAAAAGCTAATTTTTGATTTTTAAACTTTAAATTTATTAACAATTCTTATCCTTACACAATTCTAATATAAATATGGTAAATAAATTACGTTTTATACAATTAGTACCTACCATTTTTATTACCAGTTGAATAAAAGGTGATTTCCTAATACTGTGACAGCATTCACTGATGCGGTATGAACTGAACGTGCTCAAATGAATCGTATTGACTTCGCTCGCATGCGTTTAATCGAAGAAAACCACCTGGAAGTAAACATTCATAGCAATCATATACATACTAGGATTGTCTCCTATGTTGTTGGTGCTTTTACAAATATATTTAAACAATTTTTGGATCACGCAAAGGTTTTTTCGTCTAGATATAGGCAAATCCACAACACCGCGGTAACTGCAATTATGATCAACAAGAATGAGTTTTGATCGAACTACGTATTATAAATACTGAATACTGCAGGTCCGAATCGACATATACCCGATTGGGTATATTCGATATTTTATAATATCGATATTATCACGATCGATATTATATCGATAGACTCAGTTCTTATAACATAGAGAATAGGGACAAATAAATATAACTGCTGTAATAAGACATTCAAACATGTCAACTTACTCCAATCTGGTTAATTAAAAAAGAACTGGCTGACTGAAGACTGCCTCGTTGGCTGAATGGTCACCAGTGCTGGGCATGTGGTCCCGGGTTTGATTCCCGGATTGGGCAAAGTATTACTGGGTTTTTAAAAAAAATCTCAGTAGCAGCACGGAGTCTGGAATTATGTCCGGTATATGGCAATAGGCCACCCACTATTACATGGGACTCATAACATAAATAGTGAAAAGTGAATGTTACATTGTACAGTGGCATTAAGAGTCGTAATGTGCCTATCCTTTTGTGGATAAAAGGCGGTGATGCTATGTTATAATTAAAAAAAATCTAAGTGGAAAATGTCGAGTTGTAGTTAGTAGAGCTACTAGCCACTGGCGTATATTATAAGTACCATTTTTTTGATGTTTCAAAATCATCCAATGACTTCTCCCGCCTGGGTGAAGCGAGAGGGAGTGTCAAACTCTTACTGACTAAAAACCACCCCGTTCCTACTTCTTTACTTCGAGCCGGAGCCCCATATTATAAGTACCTACTTGTATTACAGATATGAAGTGAAATATAAATAAATACCTTGTACGTCATAGTTCCCTCTCTTGTTGAAACAAGCGACAATATTGACGGGTCTCCAAACGAGTAACGCTATCAATGCCGCAGTTACTACTAAGACAGCAGGTATCAAAATAAATAATCCACGTCGTTTTATCCTGAAACGTAATAATATCATAATTGCATAAAATGTCATGACAAGTTAATATACCTCTAGTAAAGTGTTACCTTCAACATTGGTCATATAACTAAGAAGTAAGAATTTACTACCAGTCAGCAGCTGATTCATTCTTGCAGCTGCACTCCTTGAGACATTTGAAGACCTAACTGCGATTTCCATACCGATTGTCAATTGCAGGGGATATGTCAACTCTCCTTCTTCAAGGAGATTTTAATAAAATCCCCCCAAAAACCAGTTTCTCTTTACTTGTTTAATGAACTAATCTTAGAAAAAAATTATACGGAATTTTATGTACGGCGCGGATATAAATTACTGTTTGTCGTCGTGGTTGTCATTACCGAAACCAGTAAGGAGGATAAATTAATAGCTTACCCTAAGAAATAAAAAATAATATTACGTAAAATAACATAAAATGTAAACTAAAGCAATATTACATAAGTATTATTTAGGAATGTGTTTGTTTATCGTAGGTTGTTTATATTGTTAGCGTCATTAATGTATATATTTGTAAAAATTTGATTTTGAGATTGATTCATGAAAGCACAAGTTGAAACCTTAGTGGCTTTTGGTCGCTATTTTAAATTGATAATCCTGTACTTAATGTAAATGATAAATAAAAAAATTAAAGGTGGTCTTACTAAATCTTCAATACAGCTACTCACCATGTATCTTTCATTGTGATATTAGTTTTATTGTCATTAGCAATATTCTCTGCATCAGGCACACTAGTAACTGTTGATATGAAAGCAACAGATGTTACGTTCCCTAAGTCGTCTTTGTTCTCAGTAGAATTTTGTACTCGTCCATTATCATCATCAGTTTCTTTATTAGAACTTTGACTGTCTACAAAATATGACACAGTAGTTTTTGTCGTCACGCCATAGATGTCATTATAATTCTTTTCAGTCGACTTTTTCTCTTGCATTTTGACATTGTCATCTACGGTTCCCTCAGAAGAACTTTGACTATTAGGATAATATGACAGAGTAGTAGTTGTCGTTACTTTGTAAAAGCCATTAAGTTTATTGTAAGTAGAATTTTCCTCTATTTTATCAACGTTTTCCTCAGTAGAACTTTGACTGTTCTTAAAATATGACACAGTAGTAGTTGTCGTGGCGTTGTCCAGTTTACTATATCTATTATTAAACGATTTAATAAATCGAATCTTAAAATTTTCATCATCAATTGGCCTATATGGCCTATATGGTTTGAAATAGGTGTTATATGCCAACTGGTCATACAGATGAATTTTCCGATTCCTTTTAGGTATTGTCTGAAAACCGATACAATTTATTTAATAAACGCAACATTGTTTTACCTCTAGATGAAAAGTATTTGTTACATTGTTTACATTGTCCACCTCTATCTCCTTCGAGACTCAAATGTTCTATATTTGTATGTGAAGAATGTAGGCAATTATTTATTAAATGTAGTTGATTTGATCTTGTATAATTATGCATTGTTCTTTACAATGCGGTCGGATTGCGCAACTAACAGCTAGCTTACTATTTGTTTAAGGTAAAAAATGTTTTCGAAGTTCAGATACTTACATTATCGTGTGCAAATCGTGCCCTGTCTAATTCTGATAGCATATATGCAGGTCTACGCACCCCCATCCATCCATCCACATCAAACCTATAAATAGAAATGATAACATTTGATTATATTTTCACCACCATTTTTGGTGTGACTTTTGTTCTCTTTAACAAAGTTTTGGATAATGCAAATGAAATGATTTTGCACAAATAGCTATCTACCTAAACGTGACGTGCAAATCACTCTTGATAACATCCACCAAAACCACAATTGTCAAACCTGTAGGTACCGACTAAGTATTAGGGTTCGATGTTTGTTACCTAACCTGAATTAGACAAGTATGGAGATATTATGTAAGACACTGAGCAAAGACCACCATTGAGATCAGGGGAGCAGGTACCGAATATTATGTGTACATCCTTTTTATTACAAAACTAACTGGCGACATTTTCTGAACTTTTAATTAATTATAACAACAATAGCTTTACTTACATATCTGTTATCTTCTATCAATTCCGTACGGAATTTCTAGAAAGCCTCTAAGTACTCATATATATTTTTCAACAACTCTTCATGTCTTACCTTTTAAACAGTGACACATTCACTGGTAACGACAGTGTTTTATATTAAAAACATGGATTCACTCACCGGTTTTGTGTACCCTTCACTTGGGAATTAACGTGGGCAAATGAAAACACCACGAGAATTGTCCAAGGGACAATGTAAACTAACATTTTAATTTCACAATAACTACTAAACCCGTAATGACGTCCGATTAACTTCAAAAAATGTACAATGTGACAACTTTGTGATTAGTAATGATTGGGTATACCTATATCCGTTTGTAACTCATCCTTTTGTGATAACTATAAATATCTATAAATAAAAATGAATCACCGATATACATATGTAAGCTTACAACTCCCGAACTACTCGACCAAACTGGAGGAGTCTTTTCATGTGATACTTACTTGTCTCTATGAAAGGTTTATACGAAAGAAAAGGAACATTGGGAAATAGTACCCAGACGAACCTGGGGTGGGCCTCTTGTTAAATGTAAATAATCTATCTTCATAATATGAACATGTTATTCCCCGATAGAGGGCAAGACTGGAAATCGAATATTGAAGTCAATTCCAAACTTTATGGGGTAGATGACTTACAGCTCACTTTTTTATTTTACACTACGGGCACCAGGACATGTTTCACTACGGATGGGGCCCAATTGGGCTGATGCCGATACGGACCCGCAGAGGACTTAACGGGTTGCCTGGGTTCCGGCTCCGGAAGTGCAGGAGAAGAAACGGAGTGGTTTTTAGCCAGTTAGAGTCTGCCACTCCCTCCCGCATCACCCAGGCGGGAGCAGTCATTCGATGATTTTTCTCCCTTAAAAAAAATACCAGGATATGTTTCTGTGGCATGGCTTCGTATGTATGAACTATAAACATAATTTCACTTAACTAAGTCTAGATAATTATGTAACTACATAAGTATCACACCTAGATCCGGAACATCAAGTTAGAATTTGAGGTTCTATCTCCAAAATCCCCATCCCCAATTCCTCCCAAAAGGCTTGCAAAGCACCTTGTAACTCTTCTGTTTTGCAGATGTACGGGGTGTCAATGGGCAGCGTCGATTGCTTGGCATCAGATGATCCGTCTGCTCTATTACCGGCTCGTTTTTTATACTATACTAGCAGCCCATCCCGGCTTCGCACGGGGTAGACAATTATTTATTTTTGAAAATTTGAATTGTTGTAGTGACATAACTACAATAGCTGGACATATGCTACCGCAGAGTTTTTTGTAGTCATTATGATGTTCTTCAATATTGTTGTACATTATTTTGTTCTATCGCTAATAGTTTCGGCAGCGCATTCGACGAAAGACATTTTAAGACTCATTTTTCTACACCTTCGGTTACATTGTTCAAATTTTACCAAGGATCCCTAATTTTTTTCAAAATGAAATGTAGTCTATATCAAATTGGAAAAATGTAGCATTCTATAGGTGAAAGAACTTTTTAACTCGTCGAGTACTGGTTGTGTAGACATAATTATAGAACAATAGGTTGCGGTCACCGGTGACCGCTTGGTGTTTGACAGTTTAAATCGGCCCAGTACTTTTTGAACCTATTCATTACAAACATACAAAAATAGGTACAAATCTTTCCTCTTTATAATATTAATATAGATAAAAAAATCTGTTCACACAGACAGTTGTTCCATGCGGGATTGACCCCACAGATTAATTTCGTTGTGTTTTTGTCTTGGTTTTGTTCTACGTCTCGGATGCGATTCTAACCTATTTGAAGACCATCTAATATGACGTTTCACATACAAAGGAGTACCTAATATTATTTAGATTTGATTATTTGTTTCTAATTGCAATCATAATTACTTTGAAAGATAATCTCAGGCAACGCTTATATTTTGTTCTCAATCTTTCTGTTTCTGCGTAATATAGGTACATATTTACAATAGAATATTTAAATATTTCTTCATTTTATTCATTACTTAAAAGGTTAATGTGTCCCAAAGTTTAACTTAAAAATCTAATAATGAGGTAACTAGCTCAATTTTACAAATGTTTTCGCTGTACCATGATTACCGTAGAAGAAAATTGTTGGTGCGTGGAAAATACGTACTTCTCCGTCTTCGATTTCGAGGATTAAATTACGTGACGTTATGTTTTGTTGCAGAAAATGCTAACTGAAACATGATAAAGGAGTTCAAATAAGTAGTTACTTCATCTTTATACTTTCTTTTATTCATACATTAGGTATTGTTATAAAAATTAAATTAAAAATAATACATAAGTTCCCAAATATAACTATAAAATACAACTTCAAAAATGCAAGTAATGTAAACAATCATTAGATTATATTTATTATGTATACCTTAAATTAGGGAATCAAAATGTAAAAAATGATAATAATTATTTTGTCTTCAGTTCAGATCAGATCTAGATGACCACGTCATAAAAATTGCTTAATGTAAACATTCTGGCGAAATAACACTCATTGTCTCGAACAAGTTGGAGAAACACCAATAGAATAAGAAATGTTGTTTTTGCCTCACTAGAGGACTCTAGTTTCAGTTCTAGTTTATTTCCAGGTTAATTTTATCCTATCTAGTAAATTAACACTAGTTAATTCTCTTTTATGCAATAGATCTTAGTGATCAAAATCACAGCTGACGAGAAATTCTGGTATGTTAGATCTCATTTTAACTTTATCTTATAATAATAAACAAGCTAATTGATGGTCTGCTTCTGGTATGACAGGATAGGTGACGTCAGCACACAAAGTAAGTTAAGTCATAAGAACTTCAAAACTCATTCATATGACATCCAAAAAAGGTATCTGCAAAGGAAATAAACAGGCTGTTAGTGGTATTTGAATATATTAGGCGCTGCCACGAAAAAGTAACTAAATCATAAAAAAACAAACAAAAACACATCTTTGAAATATGTGTTTTTATGTTATTTTATAATAACACGGAAGTATTCTAGGTGCCCTGCAGTATTATTTTTCTTGTGAAAAATTGTTATTTTTAATATATGGTCGCTACCTCATGTAATGGAGTATGTAATATTAATCATCAGATCCACTAAACAATATATTATCTTTCTGTCCATGCAACAATCATCGGCAACATGTTGCCAGAGAAACAATGCTTAATTTGTTTAAATAACGTCACGACGCTACGCGACAATATTTGATGCCCAACAGCATGTTGCTTCGCTATGCAAACATGCCGCGCGTCATACTGTGCACCAGCTGGCAAGCTGCCGAGCATGTTAAGCGTCACATGTTGCACAACAATTGTTGCCTATAAAATAGGAAGCTTACGCAAAAAGATCTTAAAACAATTTTACCTGAAGTTCTTTTATTTAAAAGTTAATTCTCGCTTTGTCCGTCTGAAACTGAAATGTTGTATTTTCCACAATTATTTCTACCGATTATTATTGAAATTAAAATAGATACTCCATCTTGTTGATTTCTGAAAAGAAAAATAACATTTAAAATATCAATGTACCGCTAAACAAGACAATAAGGACCGTTTACTACAGAAGAATTGTTAAATATTAAAATATCCCTCCAATAAAATTAATCTGGCGTTGGAATAATCAAACTTTAATCGAATAATTTAATAATCTTGAAAATAAATTGTGAAATACTAATTCGAAAATAATATTTTCCTAACAGCATATGATAATATCTAATACTCACTGCGACTTTCTTAAGAATTCTTCGTGTATAGTTTTAGATTTATTATAATTTTCAGCAAATGGTTCTATTGTTTTGTTTCTCTCAAGTATTGGGAACACAGAAGCGATAGAGTATAAATGTGTAGTAGAAGTAGACTCCGTTGTAGTTCTTGTTGTACCTGCTGATGTTTTGTTATTTGGCTCACTAAAGTGAGGAGACTCGTTTGCTACGCATTTGTTCGGAGCAATACAGGTGCCCTCACAATCCTCACACACTGGCAAACATTGTACACCTCTAAACTTGTCCACATATTCGGCTTCGTATCCTTCGAAGCATTTACAGACCTCTGGAGCTACACAAAGTCCTGGGCCACATGCAGTGGAACATATCGGTCTGCATATATTCGTTCCATTTTCATCTTTGTCTTCACGAAAGCCGTCCAGACAAAAACATGTCTCCGGAGCTGCACAAAACCCATCTGGACACCCATTTGAGCAGTAAGGTTCACAAGTATTATTGACCGCTGTGTAGCCAGGGAAACAATCACTTGTATTACTTTTTGGTGTACATTCACCTTTCACATTTACTTCATATCCTAAATCACATTGGCAAATATCCGGTGCGATACAAGTGCCGTACGAGCAACGGTCACATACGGGCACACAAGTGCCGTTTTGTGCTGCATAGCCAGAATAGCATACACAGTTGCCAAACATATCACATAGTCCATTAATACATTGTTCGTTGCAGAGACGTTTACTGAAATTTAAATTTGTTATACAACTATAATTTTTAATGAATGAAACTTGTTATAAATAATTATTTTTTTTAAATACAATCAAGGCTGTTGTATATATTATACAAAAATGTACAATTCTTTACCGTTTAAACCTCTGCAAGATAAAATCGGCCTTCCAGGTACTGTCACAATGGCCTAATATTTCGCGTGCTCTCTGCAAACAATGTGAAAAGTGTAACATAACACAATATCATGCCAATATTCCCTGACAATAGTCACGCTTGCTGCCATTTCATTTAATAAATAATTTGTACATACATAAACCATTTTAGTTATCGTCTTTATCTTTATGTGCGAACGTATAATCCCATTTTCGTAAGTCACATAGCTGTAAGAAATCTTATCTGTCGTCAAGTATGTCTCCCTAAAACCAAAATACATTATATAATTAACAAATAGACTTTACCCTGACTTTTATAGTACATAGGTTTAACTTATAAGTATGACTGCACGACTGGCGTAGGAGGGGCTGGATTGACTCTTATGTTAAGTATAGCAGAATTGATTCTTGCACGGAACAACTTTTATCTAATCATCAAATAATAATTCATTATTTGTTATATTTTTTACTGATTTTCGACATCTGGATTGTCCGTAAAAAGGACACCAAATAGCACATAATTATCCTAAGAATATACCCGATGTAAAGTAAGAGCCACGCCCCCTATTATAAACTATAACATGCTAAGGAAAATTAGGTGTGACATCCATTATCAAACTCTCGTAATAAAACACTTAAAATGTCGATGTGTATTTAAAAGAAATAATGAACTTAATGAACACTTACGGTCTTGTCTTCTTGCAGTGCTCTGACTGCACGTCAACAATCAGAAAAACTGCTGTACCGCAGAATATAAGAGCTATACAATTCTGTAACATTTTCATGTTCAGTGGACTAACTGTAGCAGTTACAAATAATCAACTGAATTATTTACTGAACATAATACAAAATAACGACTAGTTTTGATATATTAATCATAATACACATTACATTACATTCGACAACAAATTTATCTAACATCCTGGCGGATATTAATCTCTTGATCTGAGTCACCATAAGTTTAGTTCAATTTAAAAATTTTAGGTTAATCCACCTACCTCCCCCTTCACAAAAAAAAAACCCTTTCTGGGTGACTTTGACTTACATTCCGCCGGTATTATTATTTTAAAACCGACTTCCCATTAAGGAGGAGTTTATCAATTCGACTGTGTTGTTTTTTTTTCTGTGTATGTTACCCGATTTTTTTGGCGTTCATCGAAGGATTTTGATGATTCTTTTTTTATTGGAAAGGTAATATTCTCGGGGTGGTCCCATTCCCACCAGGTCAAAATCTGATGATGGGATCCTATGGAAATTTTCAAAATTGTGCGACTAGAGCGGTTGTTAATATTTTATATAGGTAATATTTGAAGCTATTACATTTTTTCGAAGGTGTAGAGTTGATCTGATGATGAAGTAAAGAGACAGTCGAAGGTACTCCTCGAGGATTTGAAGCAGTGACCCCGTGATTGAACTTAAATAATTTATATTGAGGAGATCTTTCCATCTTGATAGGGTGTGGTTGTCATTAGGGGCTTGATAATGAAGTAGTATGATAGTTAAGGAAACTCTTCAACAGTTAACAGTAGCTACCTGGTGTTTCATCATTAACAGCCTGTTCTCGTCCACTGTCCACAGGTCTTCGTTCGCCTCTCTCGCAATGTGTAAATGTGGCATTTATAAAACATCTTGTGTGTTCTAATTTCAAAATTAACCAAGTATTGTATATCTACTGGATTGCTCGGTTGGCGCGGTAGCTAGACAACTGGCTGCCGCGCAACATTTCGCGGGTTCGATTCCCGCACAGAACAGCTTATGATGCCTACTACAGCGGCCGCGCTAACATTTTTCGCGAAAACGTCACAGAGAGCCAAAACAGACTCGTGCCTGAAAGGAAGACCTCTTTAGGGAGATTCTGTGATTGGGGTGGAGTTAATTTGGTCCTGTTTAACCTCAATAACGCACTTGGGACTCCCCTGGTGTTTCGAGTGTCCATAGGCGGCGGCGATTGCTTACCATCAGATGATCCGTCTGTTAAACTAATGTCTAGTATTGTAACTGAGTGGTTATTGCTTCACCATCATCATCATCAGCTACTGTATTTGGATTTTACCATTGTGAAAGTAAAAAAAAAAAAATAAAACAAAAAATTTATTGCATAACGCTTGGTGAGTTCTATTTCCAAATTGCTTCTATTATTTTTTTTTTCATAAAAAAGCACGCCGTTCTAAAGTAAACATTTTATTTTATAAATGACATCAAATCTCGTGCATAAGGTACCTATTGTTTGTTCATCGTTTGGAATTTTCCTGGTTATCCTCAGCCTGCCAGTTTCCATGGCAACGGAAAGTCAACAGACGAGTTCTCTAAAAAATAAAAGAACAAAATTCTGTAAAAGTATTTTAAAAACGACCGATCAGTTATTCAAACAATGAGACGCATTCATGTACCTAACTGTTTAGTATATAACCTACAGTGGCCAGCAGATGAACCTACTTCAATCTGTCATATTCATTCAATTGACTTTCGACTTCACGTCAATACAATAAAGTTAAAGATGTAATAGAGAAATTTGCTAGAAAAGGATAGTTTGACCTGCTGGCCACTGTATAACTCTGTACATACCATAGCAACTCTAGTTATCACTTTCAGCTCTCTGTGCGACTGTAAACCGTCAACTCCTTTTGTGACGTAACTATAAGTTATATGATCTGTCACCAAATATGATTCCCTGAAACCGAAAAAATTATAAAATTCAGTACCTATATAGGTACTTACCCATAAACATTCCAATATTAACGTTTAAAATGAGGTGGACATACATAAATAATATCAAATTACGCCTCCACCATAAATTCTCGCTTGTCAATATCCATGCTCACTTTTATAAGGTGTCTGTTTGTTTGTCTATCTTTCACGGCAAAACGGAGCGTCGAAGAGACGTAATTCTTTAAATGGAGACAGTTGGAGAGATGAGGACTGATACAAGCTACAAAACATCACACTATGATCAATATGAGCCGAGCAGCCGGTATAACCGTGCGGAGTGGCTAGTACCTAATAAGTATGCCTAATCAATGTTAGATAACAACCGAAACTAAACCGTGACAGATGCGTGAAGTGCTATTTAAAACATCACTGAGTTTCTGGCTCCAGAATACTCACACTTATTTTTAAATATCCTTCAGCTGCTTTTGGTCGATCCAAAGCCCAGAACTCAAAACCCATTACATTACACACAGCTGATTACGCAAATAATGCAACAGCTGAGCTTCAAAAAGACACAAAATTTAATAAACTAACTACGTTTAAAAAAGCCGCCTTCAACAATTACGGACTACAAGACAATCGGCGAAGCATCACCGATTCATGATATAGAAGTCCAACCCACACGCACGAAATATTTCGCATCAAACATGCTTGTGCGTACTGCTAAGGAGTTGATTTCTTTGCCAGCTGAAGGGTAACCTAGGTATCTTCAAGGCCCAAATGAATAGGTTGCTTATGGGTCGACGTGCTCCATCGTAGACTGCATCATCACCAGGCGAGATAGCGGTCAAACGTCGGACCATCAAATTTAAAAAAATCCCTCTTTTGTTTGCAGTCAGTTAAATAGTACACCTCCAAAATGTACCATACACTTTTCGGAAAACCACAAAATCAAAATCGGGCCGGCCAATCGCTAGAAAATTTTGTGCGCGACAAACATCCATAGAACTCAAACTGCGAACCTCCTTCTTTTTATGAAGTCAGTAAAAAAATAATACTTACGGTATGGACTTGCTGCACATCCGCGATTGTCCCTCAACTATCAGAAACACTGCTGTCAGACAGAGTATGAGAGTCAATGGATTTTTAAACATTTTTAATGTCTTTATCGGCTAGCGTTGACAGTCACAAATAGTAAACTGAATTGTTTTAGTAAAATAGTACAAAATATCAGATAGCATACAAATTTGTTTGTGGACAGATAACACAATATTATCTGACCTCCCAGCGGATGTAAAACCATTGATTTGAGCCAACAAAATAGTTTGGTTTTAGGGTCCTGGGTAATGTACCGAAGTTCATTCTTTATTCCTTCACAAATTTTAATACTTTGGACTTATATGAAACTGGCCGTACGCGCGACCTTGTCCGTTGAAAAAGTCATCTAAGCCACCTGCCAAGGAAAGTTCCGTCAAAATCGGTCCAGCCATTTCAGAGATTAGCTAGTTCAGACAGATAGACAGACAGACAAAAATTGTAAAAAATGTTATTTTGTTGTATATATATATCGTATGTATGCAGGTAATAAAAAACGGTTATTTCAATATTATAAGAAGACACTTCAATTTTTTAGATTCACATAAATTCTACTGTTAGTAGGTATCTTACTTACTGTGTGAATAAGATAAACTAATCTTACCTTTAGGCTCTTCTTATTCAGTCACAACGTTAACTGTGTTATTGCTCAAAATTAGTTTTCTTAATACAATTTTATTTTTTTACAAGGATAAGGATAAGGATGATACTGAATTTAACTAGAAACAACCAACTATTCCACTGAGTCAACCAGGTACCTAAGTTCGTGTCACCTGTTGCATGAAGTTACAACTGGCGACGATACCCAAAGTATGAGCGATCGTGCACCCCTGCTTACCCCTTTGAAGAATGAAAAAACGAAACCCTCTATATGTGACTCAGACTTACACTTACCCAATATTAACTATTATTACACCATTCCTCAACACGCACATCCTCTGTGATAGAAAAAAATCCCACAAACCATGATAGTTACATTTTAATAATACTACAATACACCACGTTGCAGGAAGAGATAAGTTTGGTACAGCCCTCTGTTATATTGTTGACTTCATCCTGCTTTACACATTGCATCACATCAATAGTTTTACTTTTGAGGAGATTGGCAGAGTCGTAACTATCAATATACTATGTATAATTGTGTTACTTGTGAGTAGTATATGTAATATAGTTGTGTTTATATAGGGATTTATTTTATGTAAGTCTGTACTATCCGTTTTTCTATGTATTTCTGTTGAGTCTTAAATACGCTTGCTTCTTGCATCGACCATTGTTTTTGTCTCTGCATCACCCAAAGGTCTGGCTGGAGGAGAATGCATTAAGGCATTAAGCCCACCTTGTACATTAGTGTGTGCATGAAGTCTTTTAAAATAAAAAAAAAAATAAAAAATAGTCTATAACTACTGTTGACAAAAGGCCTTTTCTTGCATGGAGAAGATTTGAGCATTGACCACCACGCTTACTCAATGCGGTTTGGCGATTTCAAACTTATGATTAAATATTATAGTCCGGTTTCCTCACTTTTCTTTTTTTAATAAAACATTGCCCCACATTAGGATTTTCTCCTGTGTCGTGGGTGCGTTAACAAACCGAAATAACAATTTTCGGTCTCACAAAGTGTTGTTCCGTGCGGGAATCGAACCCGCGACACGTTGCACGGCAGCCGGTTGTCCAGCCACCGCACCATCCGTATAGTCTCATCAGTCACTATATTTCGCTAGGCCGTGTGTCAGTGGTATATAAATAATACCTATATAAAACTCGGAAATGTCACATTGGTACTTGCTGTTAGTAGATTTGGATCCACTCTCATACATGAAAAGCGGGCGTCTTAACCGGTCGTGTGTCTAAACGTGGATCCACGTGAGACACAATGTATTTTGTATTGTGTCTCATATCGGTGCATTCAAACGGTTAAACCTCCGAGCTCCCCCGACATTTGCATAGCACGTTCGATTCCCAATTTGCCCAAAGACTATGATAGCCAAAGACCAAAGACCCATTATGATACCATTCTTCTTTGGTACCGACGCAGCCAAAGAAGAAATATAAACTTAATTACTCACAATACAGTGGAAATTTCACTTCGCTAATTACTTATTCCTAAAGGAAGAGGGGGAAATGATTAATTACCAATGATTAATCACCAGCACAGTCATAACACTGAAATAATTAATATTTTGCAACTGAAATATTTCGTATTAATAATTCAATTTACATACGAACACAAAGATCTCCCTTCTAGGATTTTCTTAATTAGGATATTAATCTTAATCATGTCCAACTTTAGTTGCTAAATGTCTAATAGTTGCAAAAACTGAATTGGGAATTTGAAACATACTGAGGTTTTGTAATTGTTATGAGAGTAGGCAAAATACTCCCAATACGTGGGATTCTTGAGACGGTTACAATACATATTGAACTGTTCTTCGGCCAATAAAACGCATGTATACATCTTTCTTTTCCATATACATAGAAAAGTGTGAATTTAGCTTACAGTAACTATTTTCTATATGCTTAAAATATTTTAGTAAATTATATAAATGTAGTCCAAAGAGTGGCACAGAACATGATCAAATTGTTAAAACGTTAATTGCTAATTCGTTTTATGGCATAGTAGGGTTGAAGAAAATGAAAACATAATTAGTCCGTCACTTATATAAT